TATTAGCAACTGATAGCTTAGATTATGGTTTGTTGATCCTAGCAATGGTGACCTAAAACATGCTGACAGAAAACTCAATGTTTATTTCACTTGGCAACCATATAGAGGTTACTTCAGAGCGGCTATTGTTTTTTTAAGCATAGCCACCTGGGTTCATCTGATACATCTTTAGTTGTCTACAGTGTTATATATTTGCTCCATGCCCAGATCTGTGTGACAAAACAAGCAGGCTTAAGTTCCTATTTATCTACCCCAATAAGAGGAAATGATGTAATGATGGTTCATCTATTTAGTAAATACTGTAAATCAAACAACTTAATTGTCCCCTATCAAAAATATCTTCCCCATTCCCCGGTATTTGTTAGACAAGAGACAGGCCTAAGTTCTTATCTAAGCCATCTCCGTAAGGGAGATGTTATTAAACCAGTGCATATAACTTTCTCATTAATATAGCTAGAGACATGGACGTGTCAATTATTTAGTTACACTGTATTGTTGTTTTCCTCAAATCAAAGTGATGTCATTAAACCAGTGTATATAACTTTCATGTTAATGTGGCTAGAGACATAGACGTGTCAATTATTTAGATACACTGTATTGTTGTTTCTCTCAAATCAAAATGATGTAATTAAGCCAGTGCATATAACTTTCATGTTAATGTAGCTAGATACATGGATGTGTCAATTACTTAGATACACTGTATTGTTTTGTTTTTTCTCAAATCAAAGTGATGTAATTAAACCAGTGCATATAACTTTCTCACTGATGTAGCTACAGACATGGACGTGTCAATTATTTAAATACACTGTATTGTTCTTTTCCTCAACGGAAGTGCTGTAATTAAACCAGTGCTTATAACTTTCGTAGTAAGGTAGCTAGAGTCATTGACGTGTCAATTATTTAGATACACTGTATTGTTGTTTTCATCAACTATTAGTGATGTAATTAAACTTGTGCTTATGACTGTCTCAATAAGAAAGCTAGATACATTGATGTGTCAGTTTTTATCTCGCACTGTTTTGTTGTTTTCCTCAACTATATGTGATGTAATCAAACAAGTTCTGATGATTTTCTTATTAATGTAGCTGTAGACATAGATTATTTATTTATACTCAATTGCTGTTTTTCCCCAAAAGGAAAAGATATATTTAAACCAGCGCTTATAACTTTCTTATTAAGGTAGCTGGACGAATGGACGTGTCAGTTTTCTAGTTGCACTGTATTGTTGTTTTCCTCAAATCAAAGTGATGTAACAGAACTCCTAACACCTTTCTTATTAAGGTAGCTGGAGACATTGAGCTGTCATTTTCCTAGTTGCATTTTTGTTGTTGTTGTCTTAGCCAACTAGAAATGATGTAATTAAGACAGAAGTCCTTACACGTTTGTTGAGGACGCTGTTGCCAAGTTGTACTGCTTTGAGCATGTATTTTGATTTTAATCAAAAAGAGATGTCATTAAACAAGACATGCTTACCAAATGTTTTTAGGACAGCTGGAGGCTGGGGACTAAGTTGAACCGAATTAGGTATACTAGACAAAGCATTTCTACAGCTATGTATCAGTGGGGGCCTTCTGTTACCCCATTGTCACGTATTCACTGTATTATGTCTCCATTCTATAATGATAAACACCCTGTACCCATTTGCTGATAAAAGATCGTCCTGAGGCCAATTTGAATGGCACAAAGATGAAATTAGACATCGAATCAAATACCTCTCATGTGAGAGAGACGCTAGTGTCAAGTAAGAGAGTCGGGGAGATGCATGTATTTACAGAATGGAGATATGATGATGTACTGGATAATCGGGGTTTGCTGTCACCCATTTCTGGACTTTCAGGAAATGGCGGGAAATTGACTGCTTCTGTTGTTACATGTAAAGCACAACCCTTCCTTCATACACTACCGTGGATAAGACACATATAACACGAGCAATGTCACATGATCCAACCACAATTTCTTATGATGTATCACAAGCACATAATATAAGGAGTGAAGTTTGAGTATATTACGAGCTGATGTAACGATTGCTCACGCGAGCTTAACATCGTGAAATGTCACAGCCTAAATCGCGAAAGGTTACTGGTAGCATAACATATAAGAAATGAATTGAAGCAAACATGCAGTTTTAAGTGGTTCTTTAAATGACGAGGTGAGGAGTTACCTCCCTTCCAATATCCATTAACTGGTAGGTGAAAATGGTAGTTGCGAAAGGACTTTGCAAGAAAAATAAGAAAATTGTTTTTAATTGTTCACTTATGATTGTTTATCTATACAGCAAGTAATGAAAACCCTGGAAAACCACAAAGAAAGTATGTCCATGGTGTAAATTGAAAACCAAAACATTTATTGAATCACCTCCACATTGTGTTTCTACTGTGCACCTGCTGTTGTTAATCATATATGTGTGTTGTATGCTTCACCAGCTGATACATTTATATGTGTTTAACTTAAAAGAAATGCCGAGACATTTAGCCAAGAGCAGAATCTTTTTGCAATAATAATATGAACATTGTTACTTGCTGTTTTCCAATGATTTTTTTTTATCAGACCATAGGTTTCCAATCACATAATCAGTCTTCCGGCATTCTGCTTGAAACATTTCTCTATGCCATCCACATGTACAGCCATATAGGTAGTTTCTGTAACCCACGACTTCTAGATTAACCTGTAAAATATAGAGTAGTCAACAGACATCTTTAACAAGTACTAGTAGTTGTAAGACCAGTAGGAGCAAATGGGCAGATAACTCTAATTTCCCATTGCAGGCCATGTGTATTTCTCGACTTGAGACTAAAGTAAGGCTTTCTAATCAGCAGCTGAGGTTGTTAACATTCAAAGACCTAAACATTTGTGGTGTCAAAAGTGGAAATCCCAACTTCCTTCATCCTAGCTTATCCTACACCATGATTATCAGAGAATTGTGGTGTTTATTGACAGTCAGTCCTCCAGAAACATCAATCACGTTAAATTTATTTAATAATACTTATTATATATGTACTCAAAAGATAACTCTATGTAAGCCCATTTCCACTGCTGTGATATGTTTGTTGTATTGCTAAAAGTGGTGTAAAACCCAAAATCATTTACTCTCGTAATAAACTCAATATGGATGCAAGACATTAATCATTAGGCAAGTTTTTCGAGTCACTGGATTTATCTAACATCGGCAGTGAATATTGTATCTCTATGCAATGATGAGATATGGTGTCTTATCTCTGTGTGGACCAGATCCACGGTCCAGCATAAACTCTTCCTTTAGCATGCAAGTAATGGCAACAATTATCATATTGATGTTCTATTTCAGGTGAAGTGACATGTACACAGGTTGTCTAATAGGACCCCTTTGTTGCCATTGACCTGTCCGCACCATATCTGTGTTCACTGTAAACGTCCTGTGTCATGTGAATGATTCTTCAACAGTAATCTCTGATATTACTTAGATAGTGTTCAAAGCAGTGTTGAACCCGACTCACTCACTCACTCGTTTACCCTTGCTGCCATTGTCATCTATCCAACTGTCCGTGTGAAGCTGAGTATACTGCCAATGTGTCATGTTGAGGGAATGGTGTGTTAGTTATCACACAGCCTCATTAGTATGGGGATATTGTAGGGAAATGCATCCGTCAGCGTTGCAATAGTACTGCAAGAGTTAACACTTGCGATTATATACCAAGTATCTTTACCTTCCAACATTGTGTCTGACGTACCTCTCTGCCTTTTGTCCCGTGGATGGCAACATTTCTTCTTCAATTAATTCTTACCTATCAAACTGTCCTGTAGAAATGATCAGTTATTCATTCATATTCACAATGATGTTGGTAATATATAAATGATGTTTTGAATTTGATTAATATACAATGTCAACACGTGTTTGTATTTTTATGAAATATTTTATTTATCAAGATAAACAATTAAAGACTAAACAATAACAAACTCTTAGTTGTGATATTTGTGATGCTGAAGTCAGTGAACATTACGTAGAGGCTACAGAGACAGCTGATTATGGGAGGCCTGGTTATCTTAGACAAAAAGCAACTAGGAAGGGTTCTGCTTTACATGTAACAACAGAAGCAGTCCATTTCCCACCATTTTCTGAATAGCCAGAAATGGGGTGACAGCATACTCAATGATCTATATCTCCATTCTGTATATACCTGCGCCTTCCTGTATCTCTTACTCGAGACTAGATGTCACATGAGAGGTATTTGATTAGATGTCTAATTACATCTGTGTGCCATTCACATTGGTCTCAGGGCGATCTTTTATCAGCAAATTGGTGCAGGGTATACATCATTATAGAATGGAGATATAATACAGTGGATAAGTGACAATGGGGGGTAGCAGAAGGTTCCCATTGATACATAGCTTTAGAAATGCTTGGTCCAGCATGTCTTATTCAGTACAACTTGGTCCTCAGCCTCCAACTGTCCGAATAACATTTGGTAAGCGTCTGGTTTAATGAGATCTCTTCTGGATTTAGAACAAAATACATACTTAAAGTAGTATAACTTGGCAACAGCGTCCTTAATAACAAAGGTGAAAGGACCTCCGTTTTAATTACATCATTTCTAGTTGGTTAAGACAACAACAATAAAGTGCAACTAGGAAAATGACAACTCAAGGTCTCCAGCTACCTTAATAAGAAAGTCATAAGTACTGGTTTAACTACATCATTTCCATTTGGGGAAATACAACCATCCAGTGCAACTAAAAAAATGAAACATACATGCCTCTGGCTACTTTAATAAGAAAGTTATAAGATCTGGTTTAATTACATCATTTCTATTTTGGGGAACAAACAATCCAGTGCAACTAAAAAGATGAAACATCCATGTCTCTAGCTACCTTGATAAGAAAGTCATAAGCACTGGTGTAATTACATCATTTCTATTTGGGGGAACAAACAATCCAGTGCAACTAAAAAGATGAATCATCCATGTATATAGCAACCTTAATAAGAAAGTTATAAGATCTGGTATAATTACATCACTTCCCTTGGGGAAAACAAGAATACAGTGCAACTAGAAAATTGAAACATACATGCCTCTAGCTACTTTAATAAGAAAGTCATAAGCACTGGTGTAATTACATCACTTCCATTTAGTGAAAACAGCACTACAGTACAACTAAAAAGATGAAACAGCCATGTCTCCAGCTACCTTAATCAGGAAGTCATAAGCACTGGTGTAATTATATCATTCCCTCTTATTGGGGTGGTTAAATAGGAACTTAGGCCTGTTTGCTTTGTCACACAGATCTGAGAATGGGGAAAATGTTTAACACTGTGGAAACTAACCTGTTGGATGTACAGGATGTATCACGTGGTTGAGCCTAAGAAAACAATTGCCGCTCTCTAGACAACCTGAATGAGTCTGGATTATTTCTAATACTGTATATATTTACAAAATTCCGAATTCAAATACAAGCAAGCAAAAGCAAAAAAAACATAAGTTTCTACACAATGGTTATCTAACCATATATTCATGTATGAACTCCAGTTGTGAGTTGATACTTGTCTGGGTAGAGGGATAAACTTACATATTAAAAAACTAATACTAATACAAACAAAGTATTTTGCCAAGTATGTTACAAATGTAACATAACAAATTACGCCCAATCTCATAAAATTCAGATATGTTAAAAATGGCATTTTCGACTGCTTCCATGAAAGCCATATCAATAAATCTGATCAGAATCCTGAGAGAAATTCCCTGTCACGCAAATTCTAGGATCATATACACATTATTGCATTTGTTTTCAGTGTTATTTAATTTGTTTCCAATCGTTGGTCACATGTTATAGAAAAACAGGAAAAAAACACACACATGAAAATACATTTATGTTTTGCTGCATACAACAGGGTACATTCTACCTTCATAAACTTCATGATACATTTACAAATGTTAAACAATCAGTTCCTTATACTTCAAACATTGTTTCAGTGAAATATGTGTTTTGTTTTGGTTGTTCGACTACAGTATTTACAGTGAAAATGACATACCTTGGTACATCTACATGTGTATAGAACAAATATTGACCCTAATGAGTGTGTAAATGTATTAGCTAATTTACTCCACCATCAGTAACCAAAACACACCTATCTGTATTGAAAGTCAGAGTGTGACATCAATAACCAACACACACCTGTCTATCACACCAATCCCAGCGTGACATCAATAACCAACACACACCTGTCTATCACACAAATCCCAGTGTGACATCAATAACCAACACACACCTGACTATCACACAAATCCCAGTGTGACATCAATAACCAACACACACCTGTCTATCACGCAAATCCCAGTGTGACATCAATAACCAACACACACCTGTCTATCACACAAATCCCAGTGTGACATCAATAACTAACACATATCTGTCTATCACATGAAGCCCAGAGTGTGGCGTTAGTAACCAACGTACACCTGTCTGTCACACAAAGCCCAGTGTGTGACATTAGTAATCAACACATACCTGTCTGTCACACAAGGCTCAGTGTGTGACGTCAGTAACCAACACACACATGCCTGTCAGACAAAGCCCAGTGTGTGACATTAGTAATCAACACATACCTGTCTGTCACACAAGGCTCAGTGTGTGACGTCAGTAACCAACACACACATGCCTGTCAGACAAAGCCCAGTGTGTGACATTAGTAATCAACACATACCTGTCTGTCACACAAGGCCCAGTGTGTGACGTCAGTATCCAGCACACACATGTCTGTCACACAAGGCCGAGTGTGTGACATCAGTAACATACCCACACCTGTCTGTCACACAAGGCCCAGTGTGTGACATCAGTAACATACACACACCTGCATGTCACACAAGGCCCAGTGTGTGACATCAGTAACATACCCACACCTGCCTGTCACACAAGGCCGAGTGTGTGACATCAGCAACATACCCACACCTGTCTGTCACACAAGGCCCAGTGTGTGACATCAGTAACATACCCACAACTGTCTGTCACACAAGGCCCAGTGTGTGACATCAGTAACATACACACACCTGTCCGTCACACAAAGCCCAGTGTGTGACGTCAGTAACATACACACACATGCCTGTCACACAAGGCCGAGTGTGTGACATCAGTAACATACCCACACCTGTCTGTCACACAAGGCCCAGTGTGTGACATCAGTAACATACCCACAACTGTCTGTCACACAAGGCCCAGTATGTGACATCCGTAACATACACACACCTGTCCGTCACACAAAGCCCAGTGTGTGACGTCAGTAACATACACACACATGCCTGTCACACAAGGCCGAGTGTGTGACATCAGTAACATAAACACACCTGTCTTCCACACAAAGCCCAGTATGTGACATCAGTAACATACACACACCCGTATGTCACACAAGGCCGAGTGTGTGACATCAGTAACATACCCACACCTGTCTGTCACACAAAGCCCAGTGTGTGACATCAGTAACATACACACACCCGTATGTCACACAAGGCCCAGTGTGTGACATCAGCAACATACCCACACCTGCCTGTCACACAAGGCCGAGTGTGTGACATCAGTAATATACCCACACCTGTCTGTTACACAAGGCCCAGTGTGTGACATCAGTAACATACCCACACCTGTCTGTCACACAAGGCCCAGTGTGTGACATCAGTAACATACCCACAACTGTCTGTCACACAAGGCCCAGTATGTGACATCAGTAACATACACACACCTGTCCGTCACACAAAGCCCAGTGTGTGACGTCAGTAACATACACACACATGCCTGTCACACAAGGCCGAGTGTGTGACATCAGTAACATACCCACACCTGTCTGTCACACAAGGCCCAGTGTGTGACATCAGTAACATACCCACAACTGTCTGTCACACAAGGCCCAGTATGTGACATCAGTAACATACACACACCTGTCCGTCACACAAAGCCCAGTGTGTGACATCAGTAACATACACACACAAGCCTGTCACACAAGGCCGAGTGTGTGACATCAGTAACATAAACACACCTGTCTTCCACACAAAGCCCGGTAACCACAGAAGATAAACCCATAGTCACTTTTTACTCTGGTCATAAATCCAAATTCTATAGCTACGCGTAAATATGCGAACATCATTTATGGAATGAATCTGACAAAATATAATTTATACAAATGTAAGAGACTACACAGGGAAGCAGGCATGCACCTAAATAGAACCTACAACCATGCAAACATGTGGGCATGTGTATATTTACATCATGTGACATACCAATGTGTTTTATAACGTCATGGATCCATAGTGACATCCTGAAGTTTTTATCATATAACATACATACATATAAACCTATTTATAACATACATGAGATGGATTTGAGAATGCTGCCATAATCTCTTATGTCATGAAGATCTCATACAGACATATCTAGATATATCCTTTCAAGTACTTGTCTTTGAGGAACATATAGATTTCGTATCTGGTCTTTGACAAGGTGAGACCAATACATTTGCAGATTACAAAATCGTCTAGATCAGTACAAATATCATACTTGTTTACAAGTCACTGCATGTTAAAACAAGGGGATTTCCAACATCTTTTCACAGTATCATACACATCAGTTATGTTCATATCGGCCAATGAATAATCGTTTAAAATAAAATTTGATCGAAACAGTGTTCCATGCACCTACTCACATAAGGCACATGTCAAGATGTCTCTCTTTGTGTATGTACATTTTGAAAACTGTTTGATGATATGTAACTACTGTCTATCTTAGCGTAACTTGGAAACTCCACTTTGTGATGGACTGCTAATACTAGTAAGATGCAATCACTTTTATTTACATTACGGACAAGTACAAGTATACCGTGAACATACATGGTCATGAGCAATATCTAACAGTCTTTGCAATGCTGACTGAAAGTTACTGACTGGGACAGTGGCCCCATGGTAGGCGCAGCCAGTAGCCAGAACAATCAAGCACACAAGTTAAACAATTATAAACACTGTAAACGCCAAACAGATAACACGCGTTCACGTCCAACACCTTGATAAATGGGAGATAATTCTGAGATGTAACTTGCAAATATTACATATTCAGATTTCATGCAAGATTTCTGCATTAGGTGCTTACCCTTTTCACGAACACCTGGTGTCATCAATGATTTTCAGTGAACTATTTATATAATTGTCACAACTGTTTTGCCCTCTACGCCCTATGAAGTCTGTTTCGAATAGTAATTGTGTCGTTGATATTTTATATTTACCAGAGAGACAGTTGTCATGCAGGTTAAAAATAGACCATGAAGTGATACTCTCTCAAACGCTTCAGCGTTGTCACAAAATGCAGAGTGAACCACAATTTCCCCCTGTAAAACAGGCAATATTTTCAAATATTCTAAAACTAGACGTTTTTAGGAAATTCAAACTGAAGTTGATAAGGGACAAGAAACTTATACTTTGTACTCAATTTTCTCTTCTTGTAAGCAGGAGGCGTTCAAATAACCATAATATCTACAGCTCAAGTACAGATGTTATAACCGATAATTGTTGGGGTCAGACCTACTGTTACCATGACCTATTTAATCCATAAGAAGATAGTATATTTTCAAAATTGACGATGTCATTATATATAGTCAATTGATAAAATGTTTAAGGTTGCTAATATTTAAATTATCAGAGCCGGGATACGTTAAAATTTCAATGATTTATCGGTAGACAAATTATCCTGTGAGTGAGTGAGTGAGTGAGTGAGTGAGTGAGTGAGTGAGTGACTTAGTGACTGAGTGAGGTTTTACGCCGCTTTTAGCAATATTCCAGCAATGTCACGGCGGGGGAAGCCAGTAATGGGCTTCAAACATTGTACCCATGTCGGGAATCGAACCCGGGTCTTCGGCATGACGAGCGAACGCTTTAACCACTAGGCTACCCGACCGCCCAGTTATCTTCTGTTGTAAAATGTTTTTTAGAGAGGCTATGAAACATGTCTGTGGTAAATTTAGTGCAACCATTTTCCATTGATTTCACTCTATCTGTTACGTTGAAAGCAAACGATGTATCAATACTGTCAGACAGTACGTAGAAACATTGCGGAAATACTCACAAAGCGTAAACATGTACCCTCTGGCATTGCACCAGTGCTTCCACTTCTTTAAAATACACACTTATAGGCAAATGTTCAGACACACAATAGGTGGCATCATATGTCCAGTTACGAATGCAGGGTTATTGTGGATATTCTTTATTTACAGTTAAATCAGTTTGTTGCGTGCAAACAGGCCTTCTGTTGACCCACATTGCCCTTTCAAACTAACCCTGTCACCACCACCATTACATAGACAATGAGGGTTCATGTTGAGAAGATACAAAGTGTTTGATCGTCTACAGGACCAATAGAGATACAATGTTTTCCGCTGAATGGTCTTTGTAGATGTGACGCCATCATAATATATATTATCACCTATGTTTATTGAATATTTGTGCTTTATCGTCTTGGTTATACCAGAAAGTCATCGGGACCCAATAACGACAGTTGACGATGTAACTAGTATATTCCCTTTGTCTACACGCAGTTGATCATCACATGGTTGACATATGACAGCACAAACAGTTTTTTCTCAGATGTTAGCCACAGATAACACCCGTCCTCATACTCCTGAAAAGTTCATTGTGCGGTATTGATAAATGCGTGAACTGTTAATTCACTCATTGTGCTGGTCATTGTGTAAGCATGCCTTTGTTCTGCTTTAATTAAGTTCCGACCCGGAAAAAATATCAAGATTACATAAAATTGTTCCGACCATGTCGTGAAAGGTTCCGGTTGACAGGAACAAATGTTTGGGTGTGTTTATGAGCGATGTTCCTCTATATTGTCAGTGTGCAACATGAAAACCCGGGAAAATAAGACATACAATCGCAATACAAATCAACATAATCTAAAGGAAAAACAAAAACAAATGATGAAAAAGAAAAGCATGAAACACACATCAGTTATCTAGGGTAATATGGTTGATTGTTGACGGCTTCTTAGTAAGTAACTTGCTCCTTGCATTCATGCAGTCAATGTATCATCAATTGTACCCACCCACAAACTGATAAGAGGCATTGCTTTACACAGCTTGGAAACAGGATACTGACAGGGATTTCATCCTTTAGCTCGGTCATTAGTGACTCTAGGAGCCGTTTCCTGTCTCACCATGCTGATGGGGGTAGAGAAGTATCATTTCTTTGTCTTGTGTATGTATATCTGCCCCCGACCCCCCTGTCTCGAAGTAATTTTACTGTCTCACTATGTCCCAGCGATGTTGCTAGGTGCAAAGGGGTAAGACCATTTTTATTTTGAGTTGACACATCTACTTCCTTGTCTAGAAGTAGTTCTGCTGTCTCACTATGTCCCCACCGGGCTGCTAGATGTAGAGGAGTATCACCATCTTTGTTTTGTGTACATACATCAGCCTCCTTGTCCAGAAGTAGTTTCACTGTCTTACCATGTCCCCGTGATACTGCTAGGTGTAGAGGAGTATTACCATCTTTGTTTTGTATAGATACCTCAGCCTCCTTGTCTGGAAGTAGTTTTACTGCCTCACTATGTCCCCACGGTGCTGCTAGGGGTAGAGGAGTATTACAAACTTTCTTTTGTGTAGATACATCTGCTGCCTTGAACAGAAGTAGTTTTACTGTCTCTCTCTGTCCCCGCGATGCTGCTAGGTGTAGGGGAGTATCACCATCTTTGTTTTGTGTAGATACATCAGCCTCCGTGTCTAGAAGTAGTTTCACTGTCTCACTATGTCCCCAATGTGCTGCTAGGTGTAGAGGAGTATTACCATCTTTGTTTTGTGTAGATACATCAGCCTCCTTGTCTAGAAGTAGTTTCACTGCCTCACTATGTCCCCAAGGTGCTGCTTTGTGTAGAGGAGTATCACCATCTTTGTTTTGTGTAGATACATCAGCCTCCTTATATTGAAGTAGTTTTACTGCCTCACTATGTCCCCGCGATGCTGCTAGGTGTAGAGGAGTATTACCATCTTTGTTTTGTATAGATACCTCAGCCTCCTTGTCTGGAAGTAGTTTTACTGCCGCACTATGTCCCCACGGTGCTGCTAGGGGTAGAGGAGTATTACAAACTTTCTTTTGTGTAGATACATCTGCTGCCTTGAACAGAAGTAGTTTTACTGTCTCTCTCTGTCCCCGCGATGCTGCTAGGTGTAGGGGAGTATCACCATCTTTGTTTTGTGTAGATACATCAGCCTCCGTGTCTAGAAGTAGTTTCACTGTCTCACTATGTCCCCAATGTGCTGCTAGGTGTAGAGGAGTATTACCATCTTTGTTTTGTGTAGATACATCAGCCTCCTTGTCTAGAAGTAGTTTCACTGCCTCACTAAGTCCCCAAGGTGCTGCTTTGTGTAGATGAGTATTACCATCTTTGTTTTGTGTAGATACATCAGCCTCCTTGTCCAGAAGTAGTTCCACTGTCTTAGTATGTCCCCGCGATGCTGCTAGGTGTAGAGGAGTATTACCATCTTTGTTTTGTGCTGATACATCAGCCTCCGTGTCTAGAAGTAGTTTCACTGTCTCACTATGTCCCCAATGTGCTGCTAGGTGTAGAGGAGTATTACCATCTTTGTTTTGTGTAGATACATCAGCCTCCTTGTCTAGAAGTAGTTTCACTGCCTCACTATGTCCCCAAGGTGCTGCTAGGTGTAGAGGAGTATCACCATCTTTGTTTTGTGTAGATACATCAGCCTCCTTATATAGAAGTAGTTTTACTGCCTCACTATGTCCCCGCGATGCTGCTAGGTGTAGAGGAGTATTTCCATCTTTGTTTTGTGTGGATACATCAGCCTCCTTGTCTAGAAGTAGTTTCACTGCCTCACTAAGTCCCCAAGGTGCTGCTTTGTGTAGATGAGTATTACCATCTTTGTTTTGTGTAGATACATCAGCCTCCTTGTCCAGAAGTAGTTCCACTGTCTTAGTATGTCCCCGCGATGCTGCTAGGTGTAGAGGAGTATTACCATCTTTGTTTTGTGCTGATACATCAGCCTCCTTGTCTAGAAGTAGTTTCACTGTCTCACTAAGACCCCAATGTGCTGCGGGGTGTAGAGGAGTATTACCATCTTTGTTTTGTGTAGATACATCAGCCTCCTTGTCCAGAAGTAGTTCCACTGTCTTAGTATGTCCCCACGATGCTGCTAGGTTTAGAGGAGTATCACCATCTTTGTTTTGTGCTGATACATCAGCCTCCTTGTCTAGAAGTAGTTTCACTGTCTCACTAAGACCCCAATGAGCTGTGCGGTGTAGAGGAGTATTACCATCTTTGTTTTTTGTAGATACATCAGCCTCCTTGTCTAGAAGTAGTTTTACTGCCTCACTATGTCCCCAAGATGCTGCTAGGTGTAGAGGAGTATCACCATCTTTGTTTTGTGTAGATACATCAGCCTCCTTGTCCAGAAGTAGTTTTACTGTCTCACTAAGACCCCAATGTGCTGCTAGGTGTAGAGGAGTATTACCTTCTTTGTTTTGAGCTGATACGTCAACCTCCTTCTCTAGAAGTAGTTTTACTGTCGCACTATGGCCCCACCGGGCTGCTAGATGTAGAGGAGTATTACCATCTTTGTTTTGAGCTGATACGTCAACCTCCTTGTCTAGAAGTAGTTTTACTGTCTCCCTATGTCCACGCAATGCTGCTAGGTGTAGAGAAGTATTACCATCTTTGTTTTGTGTGGATACATCAGCCTCCTTGTCTAGAAGTAGTTTCACTGCCTCACTATGTCCCCGCAATGCAGCTAGGTGTAGAGAAGTATTACCATCTTTGTTTGGTGTAGATACATCAGCCTCCTTGTCTAGAAGTAGTTTCACTGCCTCACTATGTCCCCGCGATACTGCTGGGCATAGAGGAGTATTACAATCTTTGTTTTGTGTAGATGCATCTGCTGCCTTGTATAGAAGTAGTTTTACTGTCTCACTATGTCCCTGCGATGCTACTAGGTGTAATGGAGTAGCACCATCTTTATTTTGTGTAGACACATCAGCCTTCTTGTCTAGACGCAGTTTTACTGTCTCACTATGTCCCCGGGATGCTGCTAGGTGTAGAGGAGTATTACCATCTTTGTTTTGTGTACATACATCAGCCTCCTTGTCCAGAAGTAGTTTTACTGTCTCACTATGTCCCCGTGATGCTGCTAGGTGTACAGGAGTATCACCATCTTTGTTTTGTGTAGATACATCAGCCTCCTTGTCTAGAAGTAGTTTTACTGTCTCACTATGTCCCCGCGATACTGCTAGATGTAGAAAAGTATTACCATCTTTGTTTTGTGCTGATACATCTGCTGCCTTGTCTAGAAGTAGCTTTACTGTCTCACTGTGTCCCCACTTTGCTGCCATGTGTAGAGGTGTATTATTATCTTTGTTTTGTGTGCATACACCAGCCCCGTGGTCCAGAAGTAGTTTTACTGTCTCACCATGTCCACGGGGTGGAGCTAGATGTAGAGGAGTATTACCATCTTTGTTTTGTATAGATACGTCAGCCTCCTTGTCTACAAGTTGTTTTATTGTCTCACTATGTCCCCACTTCGCTGCTAGGTGAAGAGGGGTATCACCATCTTTGTTTGGTTCAGATACATAAGCCTTCTCGTCTAGAAGTAGTTTTACTGTCTCAGTATGTCCCCATGATGCTGCCTGGTGAAGAGGAGTATCACCATATGTGTTTTGTGTGGATAAACAAGCCCCCTTGTCTAAAAGTAGTTTCACTGTCTCACTACTTTCATTCTCTGCGGCTAGATGGAGCGGAGTACTTCCACTTGTATTCAACCAGTGTACGCACTGTGGATCTAATGGCAGATGTTGACCATTTTGTTCATTTAAAAACATGTTAGCGTAGTGGCGATTTCCTGTCTTAACTGCCAGATGTAGAAGTGTATTACCTTTTCCATCTGTGATTTCTTGAAGGAGGCAGTTGGCAGGTATCAAAGATATCAACAGGTGTAAGATGTTACACATGATGGTAGAGTCTTGACAAGTATTGGAAAAATTACTTGAACAGTTACACCCCTTATGAAGCAACGAAAGCTTTAGTGTTTCCTGACACATTGATACAATATTCTTGTCTTCTTTAATTCGGTGTAGTATATGTTCCACTAGGTACATATTTCCAACCAACACAGTGACAAGGAGTACATCATACAGCTGAGGTATCTCCGTAGTATTCTGTGTCAGATGTGTCTTGATATCTTGATCTATTGCTGGTGAAACACACAGTGCTAGGAAGCAATCAGACGGATGTGTTGTACACCTTTCTAGAAGCTTTCGCACTAGCTGGTTATCCTGGATATACAGAGCAGGTGCCAGCAATTCAACTGCATCAACTTGATGGAACACGTCAGAGAGTATGTCATTCAGGAGTAACGGCAACCTCTGTAAAATGACATCAGATATAAGGGAAGTATAGTTGAAGAGAGTAAGTGAATTATGATGAAAACCAAAACTTGAATCTAAGTCATCATCTCCTTCAGAGGAGGGAACGTCCCTCCTAACACATTTCACCTCGTGCTTTTTCTGTATAACTTCAGTTAACTTTATATTTTCCCGCCAACTTTCTACCAGAAACTCCACAAATTCCTCATGACGTAAAGAAGGATGAGCAAGAATGTCAATGCAGCTTTTGGACAGAAGAAGATCTGTGATCTTGTCAGCTAATATATGGAAATTATCTCTGTCTAGGATAACGGCCAAGTCATCCTTGTTCATCTGCTTTGTATGCATCAGTTCCACTAGCATCTTTGGTGGGCAACTTTGTATAGCAATTTCAGGTTCCCGTTTTGAAATATTGATAAATACAACGTCATGTATAGATTGATGCTGGAACTGGTAGACTTTTCCCGTTTTGACTAAATACACTCCACAGAAATCCTCTATCTTTGATTTAATGTGTGTCGCTGTGACAACTGTAGAAATGTTGCAACATTCTTTAAGACAGTCAACCATGGACTCAAGTTCTTGTTTATAGGTAGAGAGTTTCAGGTGATCTGAGCTGAGGTTACCATCTTTCATCAAAGTGAGAAGGAGGACAAGGTGACCAATTCCATCACATTCCTGCATTCTCGTTATTTCCTCAAAAACGAACTCCTGCGGCCTTTTGAAAAACTCCATGCCTTTTGATTGTGCTTTCTTGCTTGATGCAAAGAATGTACAACACTGGGGAAAACCAAGGACAGTGGGCATTCTAACAATGTCATAGCGTTCATGATGAGAAAAGAATTTTTCTCCACATACCTTTTCTATCATTTGAAGTTTTTCTTGTGATGTGAGAGCATATTTTCCTTCATCTAGAACTATGCACTGAATAGTTTTTATGAGTTTGTACTTGCTGATCTTGGCATCACACTGTGAACATATTTCAGATCTTGAGGTAATGACAAGCCATACATGACCCAATTCCACATTTCGCCAAAGTCGGTCAAACAACTTGACCCAATTATTCACATCTGATTCAACCAGATTACTTGATCCAAATATATCATCGACTAACACCACATACTCTTTCTCTTTAGTACTTTCACCCCCGTGGTGGTTCTCATGATTGACTTTAGGAATCAGATTCCATTCATTCCATGATGAAAGCACGATTGGCAAGCGGTCTGTTTCTTGTGATACGTTTGCTAAAATCCTTCGACCAAGTGTAGATTTCCCTGAGCCTGACTTTCCTTTTATGAAGACAGATCCAAACTGTTTAAGTACAATGTATGCAGACCTCTCAGCGCGTGTAGATACATGCTTGTTTGAATCGGCCTTCTTGATAAGGTTCCATGCATCACCTGCAGTTAAATGACAGTGTCAGTATTTAAGTAGTTCTTGTCTGATATTGACATTTCTAATACTTTCAAGCATGGTGAGTGAGTGAGTTGGGTTTAACGCCACTTTTAACAGTATTCCAGTTATATCACAGCGTGTCAGCTTAATGTGGGAGGAAAGCCCGAAGTGATGCAGGTCTCAGACGTTTACCACTTCGGTGAAACCCACGAGCACGGGTATGGTGCTGACAGACCTAGAATCATAATCGAGGCGAACCTGGATTCGAACCCACAATCATAGGTTTCTGGCTTGCCCAAGGGACGCAACTCTGCACAGCGAATCGCGGCGCCGTAGACGACTGGGCCACCCGTGCCGCCCTTTCAAGCATAACTCTGTATAACATCAATAATGTGAGAAACAATAAAGTACCCTATTTGATCAAACTTGGCCACATAATGGCGAGAAGCATAAATATATAGTATCAGTTTGTTTGTAGTATACCTTTTCTGAGAACAGTGGAACGTTGTGTGCAAAGCCAGCAACCAAATATGTCAACATTTTTAAACATATTTTTTATACCTCTTTTATGCTTTTCTTTCAACTTTGCACATTCTTTTTGTGTTGACCCAAAAGACAATTTCACTTTGATGACAAAACTATTACAGGCATCCATGGAAAGTATTCAGCAATTATATCTAGTAAACTTGACTTTTCACCTTCAAGTGACTTCTTATTGTCTCATGATTTTTATTGTTTCCATTTTCTTGTTTGTATGTTTTTTCTCCAATGCTTTCAGTAAAGATGTTGTTTAGTATATTCGAAAACTTACTTTATTCTTCAAAATAGCAAATTCTTCAGTTTGTTTTACTCAAGCAATATTATGGTGGCAAAAATCTATGCTGAGTTTCAGAACATCTGGTGCAATAAAAAGACAAACATCCATTCCTAATGCCAAAAGCAACTTGTGGTTCTTGAAAACATGATATTTTAAAAAGATATACTTTTTTTTTAGTAATAAAAGTAGAATCAAACGCAGACTAATTTGAACATATTTTTTTGTCAAATGTTAAATTCATCTTCAAAATGTATGTTCTACTAAAGGCCATTTCTTCCTCATGAGCACATGCCGGTTTATTATAGGTGGGAACGAGAATGTGAACTACAATTTCACTGGTCCAGTGGTGTCTGAGAAGACCAATAACAGTGTTCCAGGTATATCACAGCGTGTCAGCTTAATGTGAGAGGAAAGCCCGAAGTGATGCAGATCTCAGACGTTTGCCACTTCAGTGAAACCAACGAGCATGGGTATGGTGCTGATAAACCTAGAAACATAATCGGGGCGAACCGGGATTCGAACCCACAATCAGGTTTCTGGCGTGTCCATGGGACACAACTCTGCACAGCGAATCGCAGCGCCTTAGACGACTGAGCCACCCGTGCCACCCCAATCAACTGAACTAACTTGGGTTTGCTTTCACAGATGAAACATTTCAGTACTTACTGACTAGATTGTCCAGTTCGGAATTAATGCAGTAGTCTGAAACAAAAGGTTTTACAATTTTATTCTAATAACTAAACAGATATGATATAAAGATTTATAACTATTTGATGCAACTTTTACAGGTTCAGTCGACATAACAAGGTTCAAATGGATATAATCGGTCTCTGTATCATACTTTAGAAACATATGATTTTTTAGTGATGTGTTCATGTGCACCCAATAATAACTGATTTCTTAGGGATCCTCATCAGTTGTCATAGAGAAGAACATGTATACACTATAATGTTACTGTTTATGAAAACATAAGCCAAATTTGAAGTTTCATCCAGGTTGGTTGGTGTTCTTAAAATAAGTATGCTTGAATGATAATGGAAGATAAACCTACTGTGTTTTGTGATAGTCTTAACAGTAGATGAAGTGCAACTTATATCAATTTCAAACCACGTGCCTTAACGCAAGCTTTTTCAAATACATAATATCTTCATTTAGCCAGGACAACAATATCACTTTATAATGTAACAATGGTACTCTTTTTCAAAATATAATTTCTCACGAGTGAACAGGTCTCCTATCTTAGGATATTCCAGAAGAGTGTCACAAATATTACTCAAATTCAAGACTAATTACATAGTTCATGGTATATCATCTTATCTAAATTGATGCTCATGATGTTTATCAATAGATTGTCTGGCCTGGACCACCCTCATATAGCTGGAATATTCCTGAGTGCAGCCTTAAACAACACTAAAACAAACAGCCTGACAAATACTTGTATTCTTCACTTGTTCAAATAATATTAACAATATATTCATAATTCTTGGGATGGTATCATTACCCTACCTCTATTACATCATTGCCATAATCATGTTTTTTGGCTGCAATCACGCAATAACTACATTTTCAGATTTTCAACTGAAGTCCTCTTCACTGTAAACCATACATAACTAGTTGTTCACAACGATCAACTCCGCTACCAACAGACAGGACAGACTCAAGACCGGCCAAGATTGGGAAGACCGAGAGTGACAACACCGGCCGAAGACCGCTGCATCCGGCAGATTCACCAGATGTGAACAGATGTGTGACGGCGACGTCAACGGCGGCAACAACACTAGGGGATGCCATCAGCAGACGAACAGTCTTTCGACGACTTGTACGGCTGGTAAACAAGCCTACCGACCATTCCGTGGAATGGCCCTGACCCGTCTACACCGTCAACGCAGACTGCAATGGCCACGAACTGTACGTCGGTGGCAGCGACGTAACTGGGCGAGAGTGCTCTTAAAAGATGAAAGTCGGTTCTGTCTGTTCAGGAACGATGGCAGAGTTCGAGGTTTCCGACGAAGGGGAGAGCGACTGGCGCCAAACTGCATTAGAGAAGTTCACCTGTTTGGAGGTGGAGGCGTTATGGTATGGGGTGGCATTTGTGTTCAGATTACAACACAGCTGATTATCATCCGAGGAAACCTGAATGCTCAGCGATACATGGATTAAGGGTTGAGAACTGTTGTGGTGCCCTTTATTCAACATCAGCCAAGACGATTAATGTTTCAACAAGACAACGCAAGGCCTCACACCGCCCGAATTGTTCAAGACTACTTGAACAACGTTAACGTCAACGTATTGCCCTGGCCACCTTGTTCTCCAGACATGAACCCCATTGAACATCTCTGGGATCATCTTGATCAACAGCTGAGACAACATGTACCGCCTCCAGCGAACCGACAGATTCTATTGAACTTATGGAACAGGATTCCTGTTGACGTTATCCGCCGACTGACGACGTCAATGAGGAGGCGTGTGTTGGCGTGCATGGATGCCAAGGGTGGTCACACTCGCTATTGATGACGTGTTACCTGACTACTGTGTCATTGATGGACTCTTCATGCACTTTTTCAATGAACTCTGATTTGTGTAATTTTTAATTTGGACCCCTCGACTCTTTTCTTTGTGTATTGCGGAGAATGCATTATCAGCATAACAATGCATTTTCATTCTTATTCATTGAAAATGATTTCTGTTTATAAATTAATCATCATAAATCTCACATATGCCTTTGTTTTTGGTGTTTGGTCAAGTGAAGTCGGTGTAAACTTTCTTTTGCCCGGTAGTTTATATTCAAAATATGAAACTTCGTACATGTATCATGCTAGGTTACGAGCTTTGACAAAGATTTTCATGCATATATTTTGATATTATATTTCGTGTCAGAGTCGAGATTTCGTTGCACCGAAAGCCAAGATGTCATTTGACTAACATTACACGCGATCACACGAAAAGATGGAATAAATAACTAAAACGTAAGTTTCGACAACTTTTAGATACAGTTTTGTTGATTTTATTAATTGCTTTGTATAATATATTAAAAGATTTGATTGACATGTCTTAATCTTGCTCTTTGACTTGTTCGATGTGGACCCATTGTCAAAGTGTGTGTCCGAGAATTTTATTTTCAATAACATTGCGGGAAATAGATCTTGTGGATAATCTTTTAATCTGTCGATAATAAATTGAAATACAATAATAATATATTTAATGAATGAATTATATGACACATAGGTTCTTAAAGTTATATATACTATTTTGATGTGACTACAGCTTGGGTGGTCTACCAGCATGCGGTGTCTGGAGACTCGGTGTTGAAACCGTTAAATCGTGTTTGTAAATTTGGTTTTGCACATGCAAAGTTATTTTTACATGCAAGTCATAATTATCAACAGAAATACTTGTCATTTACTTTCATCGATACATTAGTGTACCATAGGGGCAAGCAGGTAGGGACTTCACTGTGCCATAACAGTTTTAGGTGTGCCCTCGCACAATGGCACAAATAATTTCGAACCCTGCAATTGCGTAGATTGATGGTCATGACATCAATCACTGGATTCTCTGGTCAAGGCTCGATAATTTACCGACCGCCATCATATAGGTGGATTATTGCTGAGTGAGTCACTAAACAACAAACAAACATTTAACTGATCAATGTTTTGTCTTCTGCATGCACACTGCAATATGGGGTTCAATACCCACATTTAAAAAAAATATGTTATGACTCGATGACTGCTGAAATCCATACACACTCAATAACTCATCACTAACCGATGTGTCCTTTGTCAATGAAGACCAACTGAAAATACTGAGCATCTTAAATACAATATTTGGGTATCTTCTAAGTTCTAAATCTACGGTTGAAACGATTATGTTTGTCTTCTCAGTTATGTGCCTTACAATATGTGAAAAATTATAAAAACATGTTTGTGCAAATTGGCCCGATTTAACATATGGGAAAGAAGTAATGAAATACATACTGTTGTTGATGGTATTCCCCACACCACCATGAGCAACACCAACGAGAAACTGATGATGCACATGATTCCCTCCTAAAAGCAAACAAAAACATCAATTCATATCACCAAAATACAACATGTTTCTTCACATTATGATGGCCTTCATAAACACTTGGAATGAACATAATAATGGTTATGTAATTGGAAAAGAAAAAACAGTAAGTGAAGAAATATATGGGATCATAAATGTAAAGGCAATTATACAATACCGATCAAACAGATTCAGATGAGGTAACGACCAAATGGGTGGTTCTCTCTGGTACAAAACATTTATAGTGCTGAGAGTATGTTTACCTTTCATTCTTGTGTTATGGGTTACTGTGGTTCCATCATGTTTTCGTTTTCTTGTCATCCTTCCTTCACCAAGGTGTCACAGCTGAAATAGAAAATATTCAGTGAACTATTTGAAACTAAGGTTGTTTATTTGTTGTCCTACCAGGCTGTTCGCTAGTCTTCAAGGCAAAATCCAAGGACAACCGAGACTATCATACCGAAACGAACGGAGCAGTATTCCTAGAATGGGTTAAAACTCAACTTGTACCGGTATTGCCCCCCAAGAGTCTGGTGGTCATGGACAATGCTCCATATCATGGCGTTCAGGTACCTAACACAAATGTCCCAACGTCTAACAGTAGGGAGGGCGATATGATAGAATGGTTGACACACAAAGCAATACCGTATCCACAAAAAGCAACGAAACCTGTTCTGTATGATATTATAAAGTCTAATAAAACCACACCTCTCTTTAAAGTTGACGAGTATATTCAAGAACATGGCCATTCAGTTTGCGATTGCCTCCCCTTCATTGCGATTTAAACCCAATAGAACTAATTTGGGGTATCATTAAATCGGATGTTGCCAGGCAAAATACAACATTCAAACTGCGGGATGTACAGATACTGGTTCAACAATCAATAGACAAAATCACGCAGGAAACGTGGCAAAAGTGTGTTGAGAGAGTTGAGAATGAAATAGAGAGACATTATTGGGATCATAGTGGATTGGACCATGCCACAATCAAGCCAGTGATCATCAGGGTAAACTCGGACAGCCGCGATAGCGATTCAGACAACAGCGACATCGATTCCGAATGCACTGCCACAGCTTCAGAAACCTGAAACAGTGACTCCGACTGAACACCCAAAACGGCTTATGAGATGACCCCCATATACGGTGCACATGCTTGTTCATTACCTGGCTGTTCCATGAGCGACTGGTCCTCCCTGGTATGGGATGGCAAAAAATGTCAACAATATGATGACCGTTTGTTAAACAATTTTTTTTATTCGGTTGTCCCAAATTATGAGACAAACCATCAGAGTTGGTCTGTCCAATTGATGTCGCTATGCACATTTTGGTTTTGTTGCAGTTACTTGATTTTGAGTTAGTGAGCAATTCATTGGTCTCAGATGGAATCAAACGGATTGTAGTATGAAACCAGAGACCCTGGAGGACGCTACTGCGAGCCTGTGCCAGTAACAGCATACCTCACAGGCAGTGTATGGAAGGGTCCTTTGGGAGATACGACACGTCTCCATGGACACGTCACAACCCCCAGAAACGTGGGAATAGTGGATAGTGCAGCTGATGTAACCCTTTTTTCGGATACTTGCTATGACGAGCTATCTGACAAACCAGTCCTAGCACAGGAGGTAATGATAAACAATGCAGGGAGGGACCTGAGGATGGGTAACAGAACCTTCCAGACCGTGAATTGATGGCCGGACGTATAGGCAAGACGTCTTTGTAGCCCCAATCAGAGACTCGCTAATCTTGGGAACAAACTTCCTGATGAACAACTGCACCAATATCAGTTTCGAGTATCAACACATCACCATCGGCCGGAAAGACGTCCCAATGATCATCACGCCGCGAGATGGCAATGTTTGCCTTGTCTTTCTTACCTCCGCTGTTGTGCTGAAGCCTCAGACTGTCACACGTGTGACAGGACGATTTGATTGAAAATTAGAACAATTCATGGTGGAGCTGGTCCTGGGAGTCCTGGGACATGCCCTGATGCCCCAGACAGTACATCAGGGAGGAGCAGAGCCAGTCGTGTGCCTCATCAATAACTCTGATAGACACGTTAAATTCTTTCGTGGTCAAAATAATGGTGTAGCGACTGAAGCTGAGGTTATTGCGCCATGGAGAGTGGAATGGCGGAGAGTCCATACCAGCGCAGAGTCAACGGGAAAGTGGATCCAGTGGAAGAGGAAAGGCCTCAACGAAGACGGATCCTGAGCAGAGAGAGGAGATATCAGGGGAGTCCTGAAAGGCCGTCTCACCGTCATAGTAGCCCCAGCCGACACCATTCGCGGAGAAGCAGGTGTCCGCACCATTGTTCAAGATATGGGCGCAGCCCTAATCGTCATGGGAGGAGACACTCAGGACACAGGACTCCTAGCATAACCCAAGATCCACTCAGCGGCTGTAGGAGCTCTCCAAGCTGGAGTACTGCCTGTCATAGGAGTCCCAGTCCTGGGAGGAGCTCGTACCAAAGTAAGAGCCAGCAGGGGCCAACGTGGTCGGGTGCTAGTTAAGACCAAAGGCACAGACAGTCTTCACCGGAATCAAACAGGTCCAACTGTCCGTGTCAACACTGGGACATGGACACAGGTACACAATGAAAGGCAGCCTGAAGAGTCACAGTCCATCGTGCGGGCGGATTATGGTGAGCAGAAGAAGGCAGTGGGCCTTCCTTAACGAGTGGCCACAGGGGTCTACCGCTCTCCCGAGAGAGACATCAGACCGCTCACCCTAGCTTCCTGGATCCTGGGCCCCATTAACTGAGGAGGTGCCCTATAAACTGAGGAACGGGGCCCATTAACTGAAGAGGTGCCCGCAGCTGAAGTTCAGCAAGAACTGGTGTTGGAAGCCCCCCTCAAATAGGAAGACGCAATTCACAGTGGTTGTCCCAACCAAGACCAGTCTCGGAGGCAGGGCCCAGGACTTTCTCAAAAGAAGGGCCCGGGATTTCTTCAGAGATCATCCAGCAGGCAGAGAAGAAGCCTCTAAGAGTAAGGAGGGGGAAAAGAAGTGGGAAATCATGGAAGTCCCGGCCAGCCAGACAGGGAGAAGGAGAATATCCTGGGAAGGCGAAAAAGAATGGGAAGGCAGGGACGTCCCATCCAGCCCAACAGGGAAAAGAAGAATACCCTGTAAAGGGCAGAGCCAAGCACCAAAGGAATCATGTTAGAAAAGCGTCATTCCGCATCCACCTGGAAGGGATAGTTTGGGTGGAGTACCGCAGGATCGATGCAGCAGCCGGGGCGCCAGACGTGATCACATCGAATCCTGTTGTCAGCTTCGGGGTTGCCCTGCCAAAAGAAAACAACTAAAGAGGCATGTGGTAGACCGGCATTTACCGTGGTACTTTAAAGGAAACAGAAGCGTCAATGCAAGATCCAGAAACACACTCCAGAAGGGCATTCGCATTGAAACAATTACCTCGATGGATCCTGGGAGCTGAGGGAACTGTTTTCCAGCTAGTAGACTACGTCAATCACCATCTCACGATCCCATCAGACAGTGAAATTTTTCAACTGGTGTGTGCTGGAATGAGGGAGTTAATCCGAAAGGAAGGGTGGTCACATCCTTATCGCCTAAGCCTACACCCCCTAAACTCACCGGCCTGTCTGATGTATTGGAGAGTGCTGGCGATGCTGATGAACGAACTCACCACTTCCAAAGTCAGAGAGTTCAAGACATTCCTACTTCCTGTGGCATCTGGTGTGATTCCAAAGCCCTTGGCATCCAGGACAGCCTCCTGGCCCGAAGAAAATTGGGATCAGGAGCTGTCCAGTATGGGTGAAGAGGTTTGGGTTCCAATGGGCCTGGACGCCCCGGAGTGGAGAGGGACAGGTGACAGTGACAGCCAATCGTGCCTTATGACCATACTTCGGGATAGGAGTCAAGCACGTCATGCACACGCCCCTTATCATTCAAACCAGCCATATGACCCCGGCGAGGCTTGCCGTGAGAACGGAAGAACCGACGTAACTATCACTGTCAGCTGCGGTGGACAGCCATTTTAACCTCGATCGCACCAGGACCCAACTGTTGGGTAGCCTGTCCGGGGGCAGCACCAAGCAGCTGTTATCAGACGGTCCACAGCCGGTTCCTCAGCACAGAGTCAGGGTTGTCGGGGCAGTGGAAGTATATTGCGACACCGAGACTTAACCCATAAGTGGGCAGTCTTGGGGAGTGGAAGGTGGCAGTGGGGGTCCATCCCAAGAAGGTTAACCAATTAGCTGATGCTAGATTCCATCAATTAGTGCGATTGTGCAGTCAGCCATGAGTAGCAGTCGGGTAAATTGAACTGGATAGGTCAACAAGACCTGCCGAATGGAGTAAGCAAGAGGAGGTTCTGAGGTAGGTCCTCGCCATTGCGCCAAGGGACAAGGTGATAGTGCTCCACATGTGAGCGGTGACCGGAGACAAGTATGCGGCAGACGTTCATTCCAGAATAATCGCTATATTGAGGGAACGCGTGCCATCAGACCAACCCCTACATGTTCATTGCTTTACGGGAACTCGGGAGACAGTTCGAGAGAGGCACCATCATTATCCTAACGCCTTCTTCGGGTTTCAAGCCAAAGCCAGAGAATTCGACCAACGGCAAGTGCAAGGGCTCCTAGCAGTTCCCATGGAGTGATTATTGTTGGAGACAGACTCCCTGTACATGCATCCCAAGCGTGGACCAGTCAACACTCCTGCAATAATTGGGGGGGCTGCAGCCCTTGTTGCAGACATAGCCGAAATCGGGAACCGCAAGCTGTTGCATCAGAGCGTGGACAATGCCCAACAGGTGTATGGGTGTTGAGGCCGGCCTGGGAACATGCTCCGAAAACCTTGATCCTCGTGGCTATGGCGGTCCCAGTTATTCAGCTCCCGGGTGCAACTGACATGCAGTTGGTCGCTCTCCCAAATGGGGGGACCCCAGAAGACCCAATGGAAATTGTGTATTCCCGGCAATGAATCTATCGGGATATGTCTTAGGTGAGAGGAAGCCCCTTCAGGGTTGGAGGGAGGCTTAGTAAACAGGGAGGGATGTAGTGATCGTAGGTTTCCGGAGGTCTTCGGAAAGGTTCAAGTTGGTTGTCCCGTGGCTGACCGCGGGGAGCCCTGAATTGCAAAGTGTTGTCAGCCATTGTTGTAAGTAAACCAGGTCGAGTTCCTAGCTCAATGCAGTATTGACTCATTCAATGACTTGACAAACTGACAGCCCTTGTACGTGAGTATACAACAATGTTTCTGAAACCGTGATATCGTTTTCACAACATAACTATGCAAAGCAATATGTAAAGCACCCCCAAATACTTAAATACCAAATGCATTAGTCCGTTTAAGCGAGTTTACAAACAAGAAAAAGTCCCG